AGACCACAGTCACAGAACTTGAAGGACGGACTTTCGATTTGTTAATTTTGATTGGAGCGGGGTGCGGAACGTAATTGAACTTACTTGCTGGGGCGGCACTGTAGACATAGCGGCAAATCGGTTGTTAGACGCTGAATCATAAGCTTGCAGAGAAGAGATGTCCGGAAAAGGTACGATATGCGGGAGAGGCTTACGACAACTTGGCCTCCGACATTGGCGAGGCAGCTTCTCAAGTCTAGGCTTGAGTCATTCGAGTATTCATTGTCAGCGGTGAAGCAGAATGCCTTAATGCTGGTGGAGAAATACGACATTCCGGAGCATGACCCTGAGAAGTCTTTTGCAGCAACTTGGGCTATAGGTACTGCTGTGAGCAGAGACAGGAGTGTGTTCATACGCATGATGAGTAATGAGTAGCGTGGCTGGAAAGAAGTTGACTTATTTGTGGAGAGAAATGATCGTAGTAGAGAAAAGAGCGTCTTATGTATCGACTTTGGCTTAAGGTTTTCGACAATCTATTTCTTTCCCCCTCTGGTTCGTGGCCAATCTCCCCTTGACTGACATGAGTCGTGAGGGCGGCCTTTACACAACTTTCTTGGTGCAGGGCGATTTCCATGGAAACGTATTTCAAACTGTGATTCTTCTATCATCTGGACGCAGGTCAAAAAGCGGCACGTGGCTTATTGCGATTCAAAGGATGGGGCACGCATGCAAAACGTGGCCGCTATGTAAGGGCAGCAACAGTGGTCGACGTGGACTGCTTGTCCTGACTCGCGGTCCCGAAGCCGCCATGACCAGGTCCTTCGCCGAATCCGATCATAGACGAGCAAGAAATACTATGAAAAAGCATAGAACGATCTCGCAATAAATGATTACAAAGATGATGATGCTATTCTGAAGTTATAACTCGATGAAAAATATTCCAGAGCCACGATGCGTGGATCTAGCGTGGCGGTGGGGTACCAAGATTCCAAAGGCCTCCTGATGGTCTTCCACATCATGCAGAAAAATGAGTTATTCTGGTCCTAAAGGCGATTCTCTACGAAAGCAATTTTATACTGAAAATGCTTTGTCGATCGTGCCGTCAACCCTCGCACCAGCAATCGCAGTTGCCGTCTGAAGTCGCCATCGCTAGGAAGTTCCTTGTTTGGCACTGGGATTGTCAGTAAGGCGGACGATGGGGGGTAACTCAAGGTTAATGAGGCGCAGCTTACCGTGGAACTGCAACGACCACTGCAAGCCGTTTTATCGGCATCACCGCAATTGCTTTGCCACTGAACATTTACCACATCAGTGCTAATTCCCCTGTTGCTTGCTGCTGTACTCACGGAAGCTGGGGTGGATTTAAAGCAATGGACGTCCCTGACGGCTGCGGTTGCCGTCGAAATGTAGACGGCAACAATGCAGTAAGTATGGCTGATCTTCATCGTAAATGTCTGATTTCAACTGGACCGGCATGTCTAGTCTGTCGAGTGGAAGCTAGATAACTTTAAATAGTCAGTATGAACCTTGCCATTTGATCTGAGTGCCTCAGTCACTGACTCGTCTGGTAACAGCTGTTTTGAGCCGATTAATCTATTCCGTACGAGTGGCAAAGGCCTCGCTTCACAATTGTTCTGGGCTTCAAGGCTGTCGAGCCCGTCCGTCCGATTATGATCAGAGGGATCCCAATTTCCCGCCCGCATTTAAGCTTGATTGAGTGGAGAAACCTCGGGGCCCGAACTGCCGTTTTTGTTTCCCTTGTCTTCTGCGACCAGAACACTTGTCCCGCTACGAGACAATAGACTTGGATGTTCCTACAGGGCCCATACGAAGCCACGGTTGGGGACGAAGAAAGAGTGTTTAATCTTCTTTCAAATGACATCCGAGGTACCTGAGCTAAAAGCGTACCAGATATCCTGAGAGTAGACCTTGCTGCTGGCTTTGGCAATAAATCTCAGGAGACGCCTGACGGCCCCAAGAGTGATTTAGTGAGATACCTTATCCGCCCTCACGTTTTGATCTTAGTTTTCTTCCTTCGGCCACCTCGAAATTTGTGACTGCAGCCTGGAATATCATGTGAGACTCAAATGTGTTTCCGTTGCTGCTATAAACCATTCTGCTGTTCATGCGCCTGACGGTATTGCGCCAAGGCTCACCGCCATTGTAAACCCTAACGTCGAAATCGCTCATTAACGTGGGAACGTGGAATTTGGTTTTTTTACTTGGCTTTGACAAGTGACTGCAACGTACATGTCACGATTAGTAGGCAATTTTCAGATCTTTTGGTCGACAACAATTCTTACGACCGCAGCGTGAAAGCTCCTGATCACAATGCAAAAATTCTTATCTGCTAGAAGATTTCTCGGAGAATGATGGGTTTTATTGGACGTTATCAGGGGTCTTATTGGATAAAAATACATATGTATGTAGCTACTTCAATTAAAATTTTGCGAAGTGTCCTCAAGACCTCGCCCACGGCCCAGTGGCTTAGACGTGGTCCGCTGAACATCATCGGCCTAAAAGGAGAGGCCGAACTGAGCCGGAGAGACCATGGAGTGAGGAGTCATGATCGCCAACGGTGGCGCACCGAACCCCTAGACCTGAGTTGAATCATCAATGTCTCTCGTCAAGCCTAGATCCCTGAGTTTGGTGAGGCTGTTTGACGGATATTGATGTGAGCGGCAGTTGCTATCGCGCAAGTCCATAGTAATATTGCTTCGTAGGGCCATGTCTTGTTTGTATACGTTAGGCGCTTTTCTGTACATGCTGCTTGATATGCGCGTTCGGATCCGGCTTCATGCAAGAGGGTGTATCCGGAGCGCTCTGGGTGGTCGTGATGCCACGCGTGGGAGCACATGTGCTGCTACCATAACTCTTTTGGCCGGAGAAGAGATCCAATCGTTCCAAATATTCCCAGTGGCAGGAGAGATTTATGCGAGACATTTGCGAACTTCTCTACAACCTAACTTTTTGAGTATGTTCTGGTCGTAAGCTCAGCCTGTGCCATCTGGTTTAGAGGATGTAAAAGATACGTGGCCCAGCCCACGTTTCTCGCGGCCCTTCTTCCAGTGACCAGCGAGCAGAAATACCCACAGCCCACCAGACTATTAGGAAGGCAAGAGCAATCCCAATGGCGTCGTCGGCGGTTACATGTGGATTCCAGAATGATATGGCCAACAACGCGGCGAAGGTGAGGGCAATGATGAATAGGCCAATGATACCTTTCACGCAGAAGCTGTCACTCATACCACCCCCGATGTCGCTTGTGATCCGCATGCTTTCTGGTAGGCCCAGTTTATCGTGAACTTGTTGAATTCGTCGTGCAAACGCTTGCTTTTGTCGGAGTATCGAATATCTCAGCAGTGCACCAAGTGCGGTGACAACGAATACTTGGCCCCAAGAGTCAGACGTTACTAGTTGAGCCATCTCGGAGTAGGTCTGAGCCAAATGAAAAGGGAGTCTGTAGGGAGAAATGAAAGCTCCAATGTAAAATCTTCTAGAAGAATGAGCTAGGGTGGATGTTGTAGCCCGGAGCTTTGATATCCTGAGCGATTGATGGGTTTGGTATGTAGCGGGCAAGGCTCTCGTGCCACATTCTTAACTGGCAGAGGCCATGGGAGATCCAAAAACTAATTGTTAAAGTTTGATCAAACCACCCAGTCTTGCATAGTAACCCTTCGGGTGCCAGTGGACTACAGCTTTGAGACATGTTTTGTGATTGCCAATTACCATTCTAAAAGGTCCTCCCAGCGCCCAAGGACCGGAAGCCCGATGACCTTTTGATCGAACAGGAGACGGCACAAGACCTGAGATCAGAACATGTAAGGACGTCTTTATTGGAACATATTTATAGTTTTTAGTCGATTCCTTTGGCTTTATTCGAGATGCATCCTCCCCACAACTCCGCGATCATCTCGCCTCGTGTTCCGCATGTGGCGTGCCTCCATTTCGATTCGATCCGCAATGCCCATAAAAACCCAAAAAGCAAAGCTCAAAAGGAGAACAATCAGGGCGTCGGTGAATGTAACAAGGGGGTTGTATGTGGCAGCTGTCACCATCATACAGAACAGGATGCCGGTGAGAATGAGTCCAACGACGCCATACACACAACCGCAGTCGCTCATGCCGTCTTGGAGGTCGCTTGTGATTCGCATAGAGTTTGGCAGGCCCAGTAGGTCATCCAGTCGTCTCATCTGTCGTACGAAGGCCGCTTTGTGCGGTAGAATCAACCATCTTAATAGTATGCCGTGCGCTTCTTCGATCATCACTTGCTCCTGGATTTCCATGTGATAAGACAAGGCTCGATCCATCCAGCCCTTTTGGTTTGTCATTTTCGTGATCGTTTTGTGTTGAAGGAGATGCTGATTCTCGAAAGGAGAATATATGTTGACGAGGTCTGTCGTGGGTGTGCTCTGGGAGGCAAATCGATGCTTGTAATTTTGTGTTACGGCGTCGTCAGGAAAAAGGTGATGTGGATGGCTAACGGGACGAGTTTTTATTTAGGAGCGTATTTTTGAGGAAGACTCACAAATGGAAAAGGGTTCCACAGATACTTAAAAGCCTGCCTGAAATAAGAATTGGCGATCCTGTTGGAGATGTAAAAAGCTAGCAAAACGCTTGCACGGACAGGTCAAGTCCCACAGGAACCATACAGTTCCGTGCCATTTAGCTGAATGATGTCCTAACCATATATTACACTACGAGTACAACCTGTTCACGGATCTTGAGCATCCAATGAAATGGGAATACTGAGTTTGAGTACATCAAGTCCTACCCACCCTTGTGGACTGAAAAAATGTCTGTAGACGGATCTCGCCCGTTCCACTTTTCACAATGACCTTATGCCTGACTGAGGCCTGCATAAGGTACCTAACCACGTAAAGGAATTCACCATACAAGATTTGTGATCATACAAGCCCCCTGTGCTATTGCAGCCAGCTCTTCTGGCCATCGCACATGTTATTCAATGGTTTGAATTGTTCAATATGTACTTGAAGAGAAGGAAACAGCCCTGCCCCTTTTCACAAAAACTCAGAGTCAACCCACCACTCCTTCTTGAAGTCCTTGCCGAACAGGTCATCAGCCTTGACCGGCTTGTCAATAGTTGAGCTGAAGTTGGCTCTGGGACCGGCAGCGCCGGGGCCAACGTTGTTGTACTCCTTGAAGTAGATGTTATCCGTCGGGGAGGTCTTGTCCCAGGTGGACCATCCCTCGGGCTTGACCACATCGCCCAACTCGCTGTCCTGGAAGACAACCCTGGCGAACGTCCTCCATGGACGACCCAGAGTGACGGACGCGGGCCCGCTGGTGCCGGTGACGTTGGCCTTGTTGAAGACGTAGAAGGAGGTGTTGTTGTCGGCGTCGCGGCCGTTGGCGGTGATGTATCCCTTGCCGATGGTGTTGATGTCGCACTTCTCGAACCAGGCGATGGCCCTCAGACCGAAGACGAAGTCGACGGCGCCCTCGATGAAGGACTTGGCGTAGATCTGGCGGCCCTCGTTGGCGTAGATGGTGTCTTGGTAGCCGGTGAGCTTGCAGGCGTAGAATCCGAGGTTGGTAGCCTGCGCGCTGACGGCGAGAGCTTGGCCGAGCTTGTCAGCCTGGCCGAAGGTGTTCTCGATGTTGAGGTTGTAGATCTTCATGTTGTCGGACCAGAGGCGGAGGGTGGCGGTCTGGTCGTTGCTGGTGAGGTTGGCAATCTGGCGGGAGAGGTTGCCGGTCAAGGTGGCTTGGTTGGCTGCGTAGGAGCGGCCGTCGCAGGTGTAACCCTGGATCGTGATGGGACCGGCATGGTTGGGAATGCGAATCTGCTCAGAGTAGTTGCCGGGGTAGACAAAGATCGTCTGCTCCTCCGTGGTGTTCGTCAGGGCAGCAACCGCCTGGTTGAAAGTCGGGAAGCTGTTCTCTGTCTTTCCCGAGGCGTCGACGATGACTCCTTTTCCAGAGAGGCTGGTCTCTGCGTATTTACCTCCGCATTTGCGAGAATCATCAGTGCCAACATTGAGGGCGACTTCGAGAGGAACAGCAGCGGCAAAAGTGGCCAGGGCCAGAACAGGGAGTAGCGCAACCATTTTTAAAAAGAGTGTAAAAGTAGGAACGTGAGGTTGGGAGACTGCCATTAGAAATCAGATGGACGTGAAGATCTTGCCCCCCGGGTATTTAAACGGCCATCCGGGAGTTCCAGCCTTCCGCAACCCGCCGATCTGGTACTATTCTTTTTCCTCCGCGACATCTTTTCGAGGGCCTATCCTTGCGCCCTGCTCAATTGGGTTCATCTGGATGCTGTCAATAGGGTAGTATCCAATTACGCCGCCGGGGCCACGGCATTTGGGACATGGATAGCCCTGCAAATGCGGAGTGCAGAGACAGTGCATACGGAGCGTGTGGAGGAACATTCCGCCAATGGCGGCGTCTCCCCCCTCAAAATGATGCCAAGCACAAGCCTCTTTCGGTTTCCCCTTCTCCCCTGGTACGCGGACTGCAAAAGCCACTGTGCGGCTCTTGGCTCAAGTACATAAACGCAAATAAACGTGAGATAAAATTTGCGAGTCAAGCTTCGCACGGCGGCTGAATTCCAGAATCCCCGAGTCCATTGGTGGAGAAGTTTGCTCGGTTGGACGCAGGGTCGCGCATGCCACCAACCAGGCTCTTGCGTGAACGCCACGTCCGTGATCATGAGATGCCGTGGGCCTTTCTTTTGGTGTTCTGGCATAGATGGGCTAGTCCCGAAAAGCAACCTGCATGGCAACATCGTGTGCCTCGGTTAGCCACAGACATGTTGACGCGTGCACGGGAAAAATTGACGAGGAGAAAAACACCGTCCGTTGCCCACCCGCGGAATCCATGGCGCGAGAAACCGATTCATTCACGGATGGGTGCGATCAGATGGTTTCACGAAAGGTTAATTGATTGGTTTATATCGATCATCTTAGTGCCCCTCGGGCCAGGACTGAGTTGAATGCTTGGCGGTTGAGTCGGTAGCGTGTGGATCTTTCTGAAACTCCCCCTCAATATCGAGAAACCAGGATCTTCGTTTGGAAACACAGTTGCTCAGGCCTCTCTGAGCCCACTGAACGGGACCTCAAGTCCTCGATGGCTATGCAACTAATATCAACAAGTGAGGGTATTGAGTGATCAGAAAGTCTTTCATGTAGATGTTGGGAAAAGGGGTTGCTGAGTCTAACTGGTTGTTGTCAAGTAGGGTCGCATTCGGTTCAGCCGGCAACTACACCATTGCCTGTTGATCGGAAAACGGCATAGAATATTCACTCTGCAACGCTACCGAGAACTCCAACGTGTCCTGCTATTTCATGTTCAAGAAAACTCGTATTGTGAATGATTTGTTGTTTTACAATCTTTGTCGCTATCTTGCTTGTGTCACTCTAGAACTGACTACGGCGCGCAGGTGACCCAGACATGGGCTCGAAGTCGTTTGTTCCCATGCGGTTGACGCTAGGTAAGGGGAATACGATGCTAATAGGCGACGTCATCCTCCCCGGACGTCTTCTTCTGCTGTAAGGGCGGCGTCTGGACCTTGACCGACTAGTTACATCCCATGATCCTACCCTGGAGCCCAACTCGCTCTCCGCAAACCCCACATCACTCAGATTGTCCATCTCCTCCAACTCTCGTTCCACCGCAGGCGGAGGCTCAGCTTTGAACACTGCCTGTATGTCACCATGGGGATTGAAGCCACTGAAATTCCAATGCAGCAGCGATTGCGAGCGCGCTCGTCTCGGGTGCGCGACCCTCCGTCTCTCAAGTGCGCTTATGAGAAGTAAAGCCGGGGCGTTGAGTGCCCGGATAAGAGTGACGTTGAGATTGTGGAAAGAGCGAGATGTGAGTGCTGACTTGAGCGGCAGTAGCACAGCAAGAGCGAGTAGGTTGAATGGTGGCGGGTATGCAAAGATCGAGTCGCTTTTTACTCCGGCGAAGGTGATGACGGCTCGGCGGAATTGAATTTCCGCCGGCGCATCCGCGATAATCTTGGAGAAGGTATTGCTCAACAAGGCCACAAGCAAGGTGAGAAACAGAATGTTTCCAAGGAATGCGAACGCAATCATGAGAGCGGGCCCAAGGATTGGGTGGAAATCGGGAGACCGATCGATACCGGTACCGTCGAGACCGAACCAGGTCCAAATGAGCCACTTGCAAGTCTCGTACCACGTCAGAGATGCCTGGTCCCCAACTCCTGAAGTGGCGGCGTTGCTCCCGATGAGCCACTGAAGAGCGAGGAGGAAGCCCGCAAAACACCAGATGGAGATGAACGTCAGGAGAGTGAAGTCCTTCATCATGGCGTGCATTGCTATGAAGACGATGTTGTCGGGCATAATGGTGAAAGCCACTCTTGTGAGGAGGATAGGGGCTGCCACACAAAGGATGTGCACGCCGTACCCATCCGCGATAACCCCTCCATACCCCAGTACATCGTATATCCTGGCGAATACATAACAGCTGAAGATGAAGCAGAAGCTAATGTCGAGGAATGACCATAAAGTCTGAGAGTGGACCGCCCAACCGTGCTCGATAATGGCGGCAAACTCATTAAGGGTCCACCCGGCTGTGTAAATGGCGAAGAAGCACTCCCACCCGCTTAACGTGGGACTGCTACGGTTTACCATCGTCAACATGTACAGCGCGACGAGAGTCACAAACTGACAGAACTCCGTCACTCGTCGTATCCAAGGAACCAGCATCCGTCTTTCGTCCAGTATTGGCGCTCGATGTGGCTCGTAGAGCGAGACTGAGATGAACTCATAGTGATCGGGCAAAATGTCGACGAACGACAGGGGCGTGTAGGTCACAACCCCTAGGTAAACAGCGTCGACCAGTCTCTGACATGCAGAAGAGCTGAGAAAGACCTTGCTTTCGGATATGATGGCTAGCTCAAGGGCTGTGAGCTTTCTCTCATGTCCATCGCGTCGCTGGATCGGCCACTGAAGCTGTCGGCATTCGCTTTCCACCTCTTCGGGCGCACCTTGGAAGGGGTCGAAACCTTCGACAAGGACGTGAGCAAGGATCAAAAGGCCGATTTCACCTGGATGATCTTCATGGTATCGGCGCAGTACGCGGCTTGCAACCAGTTCGCAGAGTGCAGCGCGCGCCACGTTAACAGTCTGGTGAGCTGTACTTGTATGTTGCCTCAAGAATTGGATGCGATTCGCCAGTAGGCAGTAGACTACACCGAGATCAGTTCAAATGTTGAAATCAAAGCGAGCCCAAGAAGCCGTACCGATCGTGGGATCATCGGGATCATAGAGTCTGTCAACAAGAGGGCGGACGACGAGGGAGTTCATCCGCGGTTCTCGCAGTTGATCCAACGTGTAGGGGTCATCTTCAGGTTGATGTTAACAATGTTTCTCTCATACCAACGATGAAAGCGACCTACCTATGCTTGCTAGGATGAGTCGTCGAATTCTGTCGGGACATGTCAGTCATTGGTGTAGTTGATCGTCAACCTACGGTAAGCCTCACCGATGAATTGTGAAATACACCGACGGCGGGATCTCTGTGCTAACGCTCCCTGTAGCGCTCGCTGAAATGTGCCTCTCAGCTTCTAAATCAGGTTCGATGCCATTTGCGCCAGGCGCCTCTCCCTCTCCATCACCCCATGGTGACAGCGGTCGAGTCCAATCGATGAGATCCGGGGTCCGGGGGGCCTCGGCTTCTTCCATCTGACGTCAAAGATTCGGTATCGGAATGTTGTCTAAATGGTTTCGGAGATTTGTTTGGTGGCGGATTTTGGCGTGTTATGTGACAACCTCTCCAGCACTTCCCTTCCAACCCGGTCCGATGCACGCCCTCGCTAGCCCGGCAACTCTAGATAGCGAAACAGCCGTTCGTATTGGACATGTTGAAAAGCGGTGGTAAAGAGATGGAAGAATCGCAAATAGCTAAGCCTGGGCGGCCTCCCCCGTGAGGGGTTTATTTACACCACGCCGCTCGTCCCCCTGACTCGATGAATTGTCACAGCACTAACGCGATCCGATCAGCATGCACTGCCACGCTCGGGTACCTGACGTAGATGGACTAGAGCCGCGGCAACATGCGGCTCACCGACAACCTTAATTTCCTCACCGAGGTGAAGAATTTGAATATCAGATGATAGATTAGTTTTGAGACAACACGTACTAGGTCGAGAATCCAAAATGAAATGGCGAGCCACATTCATAGATAACACAAGAAAAGAGAACACTTAACGGACTGTGTCACGCAAGAGAAGAAGACGACGCTTTGCGGGTTGCAACTCAGACTACACAGCAACACGCTGATAGAGGAGGAAACATCATCTTGATGCATCAAAAGTTGTGGGAGATTTCTCACATCGAGCAAAAAGTAATTGAAAGGGACGAGACTCGAACTCGCGCGGGTTGCCCCACCAGGAAACAGATGTTAAGCTGACCTTAACCTGGCGCCATAACCAACTCGGCCACCCTTCCATGGGCACCTGGTTGATGAACCGGTGATTGTTGACGGCGAGCTTCGGATTTGTGAATATGGAGCAAGGCTGGCTAGGGCTTTGCCCAGACCAACCGACCTGTACGGGTACAGCGCGATCCCTGTTCGATGAGTGGGTCCCGTTCTGGATGGCCAACCTCATTTGTCTCACGGATCCCGTCCACTTTTTTGGGTGGTTATCCTGAGCAGTCGCCGTTTTAAGACTGAGCCGACCCTGAGCCGACCCTGAGCCAGGCCTTAAGTACCTGAGCAAGACCCACCAACGTACATGTGCATGCTATGTCAGCACATTGCACACCCTATGCACACCAAACTGTGCAAGCATGGATGCACAGGAGTGTGTATCTAATTATTCGGTATGCATAAATTCTGTCTCCTCGGTAGAAGAATGCAGAGCAAAGACCCGTTAAAGTAGGACTTGCTTTTTAATACCATAACGAGCTTAACTGACTTGTGACATGTAATTAAACAGCTTGAAGACTTAAGTTGTTTAGCCAGCCAAGCTGCTTCGGTCAGGTACCATTGTAAACAAAATTATTCACACTATTTCTGTCAAATGAGAGACGTTAAATGATCACGAAGAATACCAACACGTGGGTGCCTAATCCATGTG